AAAAAAAAAAAAAGTAAGGTAACTGTCAAAGCACAGAAATAAAATGTATAACTTCCAAGATAACAATGGAAAAATAAGGGTCAGAGATGAACAACAAAGAAAACTGGGTCAATCCAATAGAAGACAAGAAAGGGAGGAAGAAAATATGGGGAGGGGGGGAGAAAGCATGGTAAATGTAAAGTACAAAACATTTTAATAGAGGGGTGCCTGGCTGGCTCAATCAGAAGAGCATGCCACTCTTGATCTCAGAGTCCTCCGTTCGAGCCCCATATTAGGTGTAGAGATTACTTTAAAAAATAAATAAACTTTTTAAAAAACAGTTTAATAGAAATAGATCCAAGTACATAAATAATCACTATAAATATAACAGATTAAACCCCCTGGTTAAAAGACAGAGATCCCCAAGACAGACACTCATACAAAACAAATCAGCTATAAGCTATTAAAGGAAACACATCTAATACGTAGTAACACAAAAAGTTCTATAAAATAAAGGGATGGGAAAAGATATACCAGAAAAAAGCTGATATTGCTATTTCCATATCAGACTAAGTAGGCTTTAAGGCAAAATAGAAAAGAAAGAAAAGCATTATGAAGGATAAAGAAGGTTGTTATATACAATAAAAGGAAGGAAGATAAAACAATACTGGACCCCTACACATCTATTGACATAGCCTAAAAGACATAAAGGAAAAAAAGTGACTGAACTGCAAGGAGTAACTGATAAGTCACAATCTCAAGAGGAGATTTTAACACATCTCTCAGAAACTGACATATCAATAAGATAAAATATTGGGTAGGCTGTAAAAAATTGAATTCAAAACTTTGTATCCAAAAGTTAGAGAATGTATATTCCTTTAAACACACATCGAAGGTGCCTCGTTAGCGCAGTAGGTAGCGCATCAGTCTCATAAACACACATCGATCATTCACAAAAATTGATCCCTGGTAAAATCACAAAGGAAGTCTCAAGAAAATACCACTAAAGCTCATCATCGAGGGGATCTTGGAGAGGTGGAAAAAAGGGAGGATAAAGATTTCTTCCTCTCCCTGGAAAGCCTAGAAATGCTGTCCAGAGACAATGAGTCAAAAAATAGAGATTTATGTCACTTAAAGATTAAAAGTATAGAAGAACTAAAACTAAGAATAAAATTGTGAGGAGACATTTGAGAAGAGAGGGGTTACTGTAAGTGAACAAAACTATTCACCTTTCACAGAAGGAAATAAATAATGTTGCTTAAAATAGATAAATAAAAAAATAGCAGTTAAATGTATTATTCAGGAGTTATAGATACAAAAAATAGACAAATTTAAAACAAAAATTATCAACTTATTTGCTGGGCTCCATGCTCAGTGGGGAGT